CACTTCACCGATCACTTCACCGTGCACTTCACCGATCACTTCACCGATCACTTCACCGAGCACGTCACCGAGCACGTCACCGTCCATTTCACCTTCCATTTCACCGTCCACTTTCCTGGAGTCTGGAGGGTTTGCGGAATCAGCGGACTCTTCTGCAGTGAAGGAAACTGCGACAGGAAACATTAATGAAACACAGTTGATGGAAATCCTCCAAATCAATCAATTCATCACATTTTATCTGTCTCACATTCACAGTTTGTCTCGTAGATCTTAGCAACGTCCTCTGTTCTTCACCTCAACAAGAGGAGAACTACCCAGATGAGCGCTCTGTCACACGTGGATGTGATTGTAAATGAATGTTGCCTATTAAAGCCTTTATTTATCTAAAAGATTTTGCAGAGTACGAACAAATTTAGGTAAGAACATGAATCCCAGTTACAATAGAGACAGTTACAATAATAATACTAATATTGATGATGATAAATAACTGTCACCTCCATTGTGTGGCAGCACTGAGCTCCTGTCTGTTACCTCTGTACTTCTGGTTCTGAAGTGACCTCTGTGCTCCTCTTTCTTCTGGTCCAGATCTGGAGGACGACCAACATCAGGAGGAGAGAGACCTGCTCCACCAGCTGATCCTCACCTCCCCCCCGCTTCTTGTCCCCCCTCCCACCACCCCTCAGAAACACCTGAGGTCTCTAGAACGTCAGCTGCAGGTGCTGAGGGGCGGGGCCCCGCAGGAGGCAGACCCTAACTCTCTGATCCAGTTCCAGGATCGTGACTTCCCACTGGATGTAAACCTGGTGGCTGCAAAGACCAAGAAGAAGAAGGCTGTGGCAGGTAAAGGTGAGCACAAGATCTTCGGGTCTCCGGACGTGGACGAGCCAGTCAGCAACACCTGCTGCTCAGGCTGCGGAGCCGTGCTGCACTGCACCTCCGTCCAGGCTCCCGGGTACTTGCCCAGTGAGAAGTACAAGGCCCTGCAGCAGGAGGGGGGTCTGCATAGCGCCACCTGTCAGCGCTGCCACCTGCTCACCTACCACCACAAGGCACTGCACCTGGAAGTGTCCAAAGACCAGTACCGGGCGGTGGTGCAGCAGATCCGCCCCCTACAGGTCCTGGTGTTGCTCATTGTTGACCTGCTCGACCTCCCCGACTCCATCATCCCCGACCTGCCTGAGCTCGTTGGTACCAACAAACACGTGGTTGTCCTCGGCAACAAGATCGACCTGCTACCCAGGGACTCGCCCGGCTACCTGCGACGAATCAAGGGTCAGCTTTCCCAGTACTGTCAGGTGGCCGGCTTAGGAGGCCAGGTCACCGACATCCACCTCATCAGTGCCAAGACCGGGTACGGCATCGAGACGCTGATATCCAGCCTGCAGAGGTCCTGGAAGTACAAAGGTGACGTGTACCTGGTTGGGAGCGCCAACACAGGAAAGTCAACCCTGTTCAACACGCTGCTGGAGTCTGACTACTGCAAGTCCAAGGCCTCCGAAGTCGTACAGAAGGCCACCGTATCGCCCTGGCCTGGTGAGCACCACACTCGTTCACTTTAATATAATCCAGTGACATCAGCAGGTCAGAGGTACGATCACAGTTACTGACGCAACATCAGCTGATTCATATTTTCTCCTCAGAAGTTTAATGAAATATTTAAAGTTGTATTAACCTGTTGATATAATAGTTCAGTTCATTTCATGATAATTATTTATAGGATCAGTCAGACGTTGATCGTCTGTGTCACGTGACTGTGCATGTTTTCCCACCATGGTGCGTTCAGGGACAACTCTGAACCTGCTGAAGTTTCCCATCATCAACCCGACACCGTACAGAATGTTCAGGCGACAGAAACGACTGAACAAGGCATCGCAACAGACGGAGGACGAGCTGTCACATGTCGAACAAACGAGAATGAGACATTTCCGCAGACAGGGCTACTTAGTGGGTAAGGACGGGGGGGGGGGGGTGTCACATGTTCATCTGTTCACATGATTACATGTTCCCATGGTCACGTGTTCTCAGGTCGTGTTGGCAGAACATTCCGTGCTGAAGTTGGATCCAGACCAGATGAGATCCAGTTTGATCCTGACAGTTTGGCATTTGGAGAAAATGAAGACGGAGAACTGACGACAGGTGAGACAGGAACATGGCTGTAGTGGGGGGGGTAAACGCCGTCGACGCACCTTTTTAAATACAACATAGAATTTATGCAGTTTTTTTAAATACAACATAGAATTTATGCAGTTTTTTATGGTGGTTTACTCAAAGTTTGACTCAAATTCAACTGTTGTCACCATGTCCCCGCCCCTTTTCATTGTTGCATGGCACCTGACT